TGTAAAGACTGGGAGAGATACACACAAACAAAGTGTAAGTAATAATGACTTAATAGTGAAACAACACATCTGTGTTTAGACATAGGGAGAGAAAAAGCTCCGAGAAAAGCAAGAGGGAATAGGGACACAAATAAAGTGGCTTCAGGCAGAAGACAGAGAAAGAACAAGGGGCAGAATGTGGAACAATAGGACAGAATGAAAATGGGAACAGAGAAAATGACCTTAACTAGAGAAACAAACTATCAAACACCACAAAGACCATTTTCATGGCACACATGCTAATAAAACAGTTTGTAAGGGAGTAGCATCAGACAACAGAAAGAGAAGCATTTGATTCAGCATTTAGGGAAAAGTTAAGTGGATGGGGAGAGTGGAACAAGAAGAGAAAGAGAACAAAACACCCAAAAGAGATAAATGCAGCACAAATCATTCCTGATACATGGAGGGGGGCAAATGACATCTACAAGAAAGAGACTGCCAGACAAAAGTGAACAGTACAGTAACGGTAATTTGATCGATCAAAGTTGGTGTGATGTGAATGACGGCTGTTGTCAGTAGAAACAAAAGAAGAGAAATATTGTTATAAGACAATAACAAGTGAGACAATTTGTTGTTTACACTGTTAGTACGACAATGACAAGGACCATATTCAGTTTTATCTCCTAGCAAATTATGATCAGATGGCTTCATATTAAATGTATAGCTAATGGACTGAATGGTGAATGGAGCTGCAGAGAATGGGAAATATGGACACATTTGTTATTTGTTGTGTTAACATTACAATGAAGCTTGCAAAAAAAATTTAAATAAAAGTTCTGATTTAATACGTTGTTGTTTTTTTACTTTTTATTTATTTTTTGCATTTGTACAAGGTTCACTAGGCAGAGAGGAGAGCATTAAGTGCAGCCCACATAAGTAAAAGAAAATGTTTAATTAAATTCACAGTCAGCCCCTAAGCAAACATTTTATACACTTCTTTTGACAAGGGTAGTAAACCTTGTGTTTTTAAGGAGGCCTCTTACTACCAAAGGACCCCCTCCCTCAAACCTTTACTGTAGAGGGAAAAGAACTGTTTGTTTAGTGGCTAGAGAGCCATTAAGTTGTTGTTTTGGGGCCATGCCAAGTGCTTCCAGCACAAAACACTCTATTGCCACACTATTTGTGAACTGAACTACCACACTGGCCAAATCACTGGGACACAAGTGTGTGTGAAAATGTATTTTGGCATCGTGGGTGTGGTTGTGTGTGTGTGTGTGTCTGAAACCTATTACAACATCAGTAACAAGAGATCACAGCTGTTTCGCCTCCGAACTTTCT